TTGAGGAGGTCAGTTGTGGTGCCTGAGCAGTGTTTGTCACTGTTAAAAGAAAAAGTTAAATTTAGCAGTGTTTGGGCAAAGAAATGATTCATGAAATCAGGCAGCACCCTGAAAACAGTAAAGGCTCAGAGAGTTCCAGCCAGCAGGAAGAGGCAGTGTTTATAGAGAGAAAGAGGAAGTGACATACAGACAGAGCCTGATGGAAGTGGTAATAACCTGGACAGTCACCAAAAGAAACGTGAAGATTAGAAAACATGGAATAGCCAAGCTTGCCACCCATCATTCAGTATGACTGTTTCTATAGTAGAACCTTGTATATCTCCCACTTAACTCCTGACACAAGCCAGTAGTGCAAGGCTTTCATGCATTATGCCGAAATGTATTTTCACCAGGCTTCACTATTAGAAGCATAGGTCTTACAGCAACTATTTCATAAGAGTTCAATTACATTTTCCAGTGGGAGGAGAACTGATGGCAATCAAGCAGTAATAACATTGACCAAGGCAATCCAATCAATTGGATGCCTTTGTGTTTGTAACACCTTTTACAACTTGTCCAGTGAAATGAAAATCTCTATCAGTGTACTCTTTCAGCAGTAACATCTCATAAGGGAAACACATTTTTTTTTTTAAAGGAGGAAAGGTTTATTTCAGCTCCCAGTTTGTAGGGGTTTCAGTCCATAATCAGCTGGCCTGGAAATACATTTTCTAATTGCCTTTTCACTGTTATTACAGCACCAGGCTTCCTTCACAGGAGACTTCTACACAACACAAAACCACGTGTAGAGATGGCAATGGCATGAACTCCATCTGTAATGTCCAAATGATCCAGCAAGTGCTGGCTATATGTCACCTGAGGAGTTTTTTTTTTTTTTTTGTACCGGGGATCAAACTCGGGTCTTTGGGCTTACGAGGCAGGTGGCGGAAACCTGAGGTTTTTGTTGTCTTACCAGAATTAGGGGTTTGACAGACCAAAGAGGGGTGTGGCTTTATAGTAAGTCTTGAAGTCAGGGAGAGCCATTCCTCTGACATTATTTTCCTTGAAGATAATGTGGGATATTTTGGTACTTTTGCCTCTCCATAGATCTCTTACAGTCAGCTTGTCAATACCCACAATATAACTCGCTGACATTTCAATTGGAATTGAATCTACAGATGGAGTTGGGAATAACTAACATCTTTTTTTTTTTTTCCGGTAGCAGGGATTGAACTCAGGACCTTGCACTTGCAAGGCAGGCATGGTGACACTGAGCTAAATCCCCGGCCCGGGAATAACTAACATCTTGACAATATTGTCTTCTTATCCATAAACATGGAATGTTTATTTAGTTCATTGATTTCATCTATCAGAGTTTTATAGTGTCCTCATATAGATCTTGTGCATATTTTGTAAAACTTATACCTAAGTATTTCAATTTGGGGGGTTCTAATATAAGTAGTATTGGGTTTTTTTAAGATCTATAAATGGTTTACTTTTAATAAATATCTATTGACTTATAATGTAAATAAGAATAAGCAAATATAGATTATTCTTGCAATTTAAAAAAATGGCACATGTAAATGAGTACTCTGACACAAATAATTTGAATATATTTATACTATATATAATTCTCCATTTTAGGATTTTGCTACAGAATATCACCCTAGAATAGTATTTTTTTAAAAAAAAATCACCCGGAAGAATTAGATGATGATTGTGAAATAGGTTCTCCCATCATAATACTGTTTCTGTCACTTAGATGTCAAGAGATGTAGCTGGGGACTGAAGCACTTTACGAGAAAGCCTCATTCTTCCATCAGCTGGATTGCGTCCAAAGTATTTCACCTGAATTTCCTGGCCAACTTCTACTCCTAGGGCAGTGGGATGTTTAATCTTTTGTTGATCAAGTTGTGTGTTATAAAGTAGTACTGCAGTCATATTTGGGTATAGTTTTACCATTTCTCCAGAATCTCTGATTTCAGTTATTGTGGCAGTATAAACAGCTCCAAGTTCTAATTGATATTCTTGGTCATCTTTACAGATTTCAGTGATGAATTCTCTTACCTCATGCATTGCACTAGGTGTTGGTGCAAACACAAAATATGTTTCTTCATCCACTTGACTAATAGTTACACCTGTTTCAGCTTGAAGTCTTTTTAAATGATATCCACCTGGTCAAACAAATTTTGCTCATTTTGATAATGGAGCTTCAACAGTTTCTACAACAGGTCCATTTTCTTTTCTGGATGCTTGAGGTTCTGAAATTGTTTTGTTCATAATTTGTAATATTTCCCTCTTTGCCACTGACGCTTGCTGAATAGCCTCCATTACAATTTTTATTGGTATTCCTGGTAATTTAATATCAGCTTGTAATGCAGTTATTCCCTTATTGGTACCAGCTATTTTGAAATCCATGTCACCATTGTAATCTTCAATTCCCAGAATATCTGTCACCAAATGGTAATCTTCTATTTCACCTTTCTCAGGATGGATTTTAGTGATCAATTCTATTGCTACACCTGCAACAGCAGATGATACTGGAACCCCTGCATCCATTAATGCCAAACTTCCACCACATGCAGATGCCATAGAAGAGGATCCATTTGACTCTAGGACTTCAGATGTAACTCTTATAGTGAAAGGAAAATCTTTGGGAATAACAGGATACAAAGCTTTCTCTGCAAGAGCACCATGCCCAAGTTCTCTCCTATTTATTCCAGTGACTTTGCCAGTTTCATTAGTTGCATGAGGAGGAAACTCACAGTGCAGCATGAAATTTTTATCTTTTATCCCACTACAGACAAAAGGCATAATATAAAAAATATTATAGTGACACAAACAGATTTGTTTCAATAAATAACTAAAAAAGATTTCAGAAGATTTAAAAAATCTAATTGAGTACTACCAAGAGTTGGTCTGAAACAGAAAACATGAAGAACAGCATTTTTTTTTTTTGAGATGGGGCTCATTTTGTTGCCTAGGCTGGTTTTGAACCCCAGCGATCCTCTTGATTTAGCCTCCCAAGTAACTGAGAAGTGGCATTTTTTTTCTGGGGCTTATGAATGAATTCTACATAGAAGAAAACAGTTTTGCTTCAAATATAAGCTCTAGATGTCCAGATTAGAATATTAAGACAGCAGACATATTTTTAAGCATCAGTAACTACAGAAAGAATCTGAAATGTTATAGCCATAATTTTTAAATCTCATGAGAAGGCGTGGTGGTGTACACCAGTAATTCAAGCACTCAGGAGGCTGAGGCAGGTCATCATGTGTTCGAGGCCAGCCTGGACTACTGAGCAAGACCCTCTCTCAACAAAACAAAAATAAAACAAAAACAGAACAAAATGAAACAAAACAAAACAATCAAGAGTTACAATCTTTTCCCTACTCAACAGGTGAAATGCAGATCAGTAATGCAGATTATATAGCTGAGAGCAATCCGAAGATCTGACTGGCAAAGATCTTTTCAGGGTTTAAAAAGAGAACTATAATGAAAGTGTCTAGAAAAATGGTCTATTGAGTTTTTAATTTAAAATTTCACTTGTTCATTGCTTGTATACAGGAAAGTGGTTAACTTTAGTATATTACCTTTGCATCCTGCAACCTTTTTATAATCATGTTTTAGCTCAAGGAGTTTATTTGGTGATCGTTTTGGATTTTCTACAGATATTTATGTCATATGTGAACAAAATTTTGTTTCTTCCTTCCCAATCTGCATGCTTTTTAAAAATGTGGGTACTTGTAATTTTCTTCTCTTGTCTTACTGCATTAGCTAGGATGTCCAGTATGATTTTGAAAAGGAGGGATGAGAAGAGATATTCCTGTTTCATTCTTGATTTAGTGTGGGAAAGTTTATAGTAGTTTCTTACCGTCAAGTGTGACGTTAACTGTAGATTTTTTGTAGACATTCTTTATTAAGTTGGGGAATTCTGTTTCTATTTTGCTGAGAGTCTTAATTTTGAATGGATGTTGAATTTGTCAAATTCTTTTTCTATGTCTACTGATATAATCATGTGTTTTTTCTCCTTTATACTGCTCATGTGCTGAATTATATTTCCTTATTTTCACATGTTGAACCAAACTTGTATACCTAGTATAAATCCCATTTAGTGATGCATATAATCCTTATTATGAATTTGATTCAGTTAGCCAATAGTCTTGAGACAGAACAGTGAGATCCAACCCTCCCAAGAAAAACTTTCCCTTTCCCATTTTTTTTGGGGGGGTATTAAGGATTGAACCCAGGGTTGTTTTATCTCTGAGGTGTACCACTTATTCCACCCTCCTTTTCTTTTTAAAAAAATTTATATATTAATTGGTACATTTTAGGTACACAATACAT